TCCCCCTTCTCTCCCTCTCCCTCTCTCCCTCCCCCCTCCCGCCCTCTCTTTCTCCCACTCACACATACCCACTCACAAACATCCCCACTCACAAACATCCCCACAGCTGCCATGGTGTGTTGCTGGATAGACAAAATTTCCTATTCACATTGATGGCCGTGCCAATGGCTCCCGGCCAACCCTGTCTCTCTCCGGGGATTTATGCTGCTGGGGATGAGGGCGAGGGAAGGGACATTTTGTTATATCATTATCTTGTATTGCTTTTTTTTTTCTTTTCTTTTTTTTTGAATACTTATTGTGATAAAATTAGGAACAGATGTTTGGAGGGCGCCACTTGTAGATCTTACCTAAAAAAAAAAATTCTCGTTATTGTTTGCGTCTGTCTGTCTATCTTGCTCTTTTCCAGCACAGAATGGCTGTTATTACTATTATTAGGGGGTTATTGTGTTGATGTGTGATTTTCTTTTATCTTATAATAGACAAATGAACGAATAAAAAAAAAATACAGTGGGTTGTTGGCGGGTGCTCTGGTGTGGTTTGCTCCTTTTTTCCTGTCAAAAACTATCATCATCCTTCTCTCTCCTCCTCTTTTTTTGTGTGTTTGTTACTCTCTTGTAACACCTCTAATCTTCGGCACTTATATGACCTTATTGTGTTGTAAGTGCCGTAAAACTCTTACTAATAAAACAAAATACAATTGAGAGTTGGAAAATGGAGTAGCCTTGTCTTATATATATTATATTTGATTGCACTTATTGTGGGGTTTTTTTTGTTTTTGTTTCTTTAAATTTTTATTTCTTTCAGGTTTTTGTTAGAAACACCGATGGTTTTTAGAGTTCCTAGCCTAGAGTGTAGTATGCTAGATTTTGCTTCACTAATTTTGTACTTTTCAATTTGAATAAACATGATTTTAAGTTGGTTGTTGACACACGCCCTAGTGTGGTTTGCTCCTTTTTTCCCTATCCCTATCATACATCTATCGTATTTATTTCTTCTCCTTCTTTTCTTTGTATGTTACTCTCTAGTAACATCGTTATCTCTGGCACGTATATGATTGCATGATCTATTTGTGTTGGAAATGTCGTAAAACTCTTGCCAAAAAAAAAAATTAAAACCAGTACACAATTTTTAACCTACTATACTAATGTACCTTGTGTCTCTTTTTTTTTTTTCTCTCTCTGCAGGCTGAGTGAACCAGCCTCCTGACACTCCCCCCCCTTTCCCCCCTTGAGTACCACCCCTCCCCCCTACCCTTGTGACTTGAGCCACCACCACCACCACCACCGTCGGTCACACCCACACCCAGCTTCTCGCAGCAGCAGCAGCAAGAGTCATATATGACCTAAAAAGTGCGCCAAGTGCTGTACTAAAACTCCTGACGACTACTACGACAAGGACAAGTAGCCGCCATCATGCCGCACATCAAGCGGACCGTGGAGCCGGTGCTGGTGAGTCGGCGGCACGTGGACCCGGCCGTCCGAGATGAGCTGGAGTGTATGACCAACAACACGCTGGCCAACGTGATCCGGGAGCTGAGCTCGCTGAGCCGGCACGCCGAGGACATGTTCCGCGAGCTGACGCAGGAGACCACCAACGTGTTTCGTCGCGGCACCCAGCTCCAGCGACGCATCGAGGACATTCACGACAAGGTCACGCAGCTCAACCCCAACGTGGATGTTTGTGAGTAGCCAGTTTTGGGGGTTTTTTTTTTTTTTATGGTTACGCTTGTCTTGATTTCGCTATTTTTGCGGATTTTAAAGAAATTGGCAAACTCGAATTGTTTGATATGTTAAAAGGGGCTTTACGGCATTGGACCACAATACATTAGGAGACTCAAAGATCACAAATTCTAAATATTTGAGAAAAACTAAAATCGGAAAATGTGAAAAACTAAATGGGTAAAATGCGTGCGGGAGGGAGATCTGAACGCTGGATGGGTGGAAAGTGTTAAATGATGATGTATCCTGTTTGGTTTGGTTTATCCTACCTTTGATTTGAGCTTTGAGGAAAATTATCTGTTTAAGTGATTGAAGAACCTCATCTAATGTGTTTCCTTACTTTTATGACAACACGAGCAAACGTGTGTCATGGTTAGAGTCTTTGCCTTCACACGCATAAGGTGTGAGTTGTGCTCCTTTAGTGGGGAAGTTTTTTTAATAGAGTATCTCTGTCTGTCTGCTGGAGTGCTGTATCCTTCTTTCCTATCAAACGTCTAGTTATCATCCTTACCTCTCCTTCTTTTTTGTGTTTGTTACTCTCTTGCAACACTTCTAATCTTCGGCATTTTTCGACCTTATTGTGTTGTAAGTGCTGTAAAACTCTTTCTAAAACTAAAAAGTAGTTTTCTATAAAATTGCTGGGGGGAGGGGGGGTGGGGGTTCAAATGATTACCTCTGTCTGTCTGCTGGAGTGCTGTATCCCACTCTGCCCAGTTTGGGCTTGGTTGGCAGGGTCAATATAGCCTGTAAATGATTTGAAATGTATCGATAGGGGTATATAACACTCACGCTCACTACTATAAGCTGACACTGACATGCTTCATGTGTTGTGTCTCCAGTAAACCTACAAGACATCCACTTACAGAAGCCCTTCAAGAGCTCCATAAAGCGAGAGCAGCAAGTTCTGTCGCGCCCCACGGTGCCCCGCGCCATCTTGGAGGTGTATGAGCGCTGCGACGCGCCGCCTGCCCTCGACAAACTGGACAAGTTCAGGTAAGCTCGTCACAACACACAGAGAGGTTCGACGCAACATGCAGCAAGGCTTGATGCACCTCTGTCTCTGTGTCTTGTTTATTTTATTTTGTACAATTTTAGAAAATCACCCAAAAAAAGATTGAAGAAAAAATCCAAGCCTAAATTAAATGTTGCTTTTTCCCAGCATTCAATGACCATGGGGGGGG